AGGAAGCAGGTTGTTGATGCCGTTCTTTGCTGACAGGTCTTATAAGGATAGCTAAGGATAGGCTAGAATGGTCGGGTTGCTTTTGATGTTTCAATCTGCGCCAGACGCACTCAATTGGAGCATCCAAATCAACATCATGATGCAAGACATGCTAATGCATTCATCGACATGTCTTGCATCATCACCATATTTGTTGATGTTTATAAGTCCAAAACATGAATCATATTTATTGTAGAGCCAAGACCGCCACCCAGGGCGTGTGGGCGGATCCTCACTGTGGTTTGAACCGCGACAACTACCATCCTGCAGACGAACATGGACCCTGAAAAATACTCTGTGGAATGAAGTCCATGTTCCTTTAGAACCCAGACTTATTTCATCGATACAGATCACGGGTGAAGCTGAGAATCTGGACGTTGTAGCTGCCTAACTCACTCACAGCTGGCATGATTTCAGCTCACTGGGTTTGTATTGAACGAGGGAGACCTCCCAATGGGTACATGTAAGTGTCTTGATCTTCCCAGTGGTCCTTATACATAATTACTTATATTCCAATACAGGCATATTACCGGCCAGACTCCTTGACTCAACTCCCTCTCGGCATCGAATCATCCATCCATCGCCGCTATGCCACCGCCCTCGGTGGTTTTTCACCCACCGAACCTTTCGCCGCTGCTGCGCCGGTTTCATCCATCGGCTCCGGTTAGGTCTCCAGCGCCTTTGAGCGGGCGAAGATTTGCCAGAATTTGGAGGCGATGAAAGAGATCAAGGCACCGGGTGGCCAGACCGGTGGTGTAAAACGAACGAAAAGACAAGCGTCCTTGTTGCAAAGACTCAAAGACTGGTGGTGTTGGGTCAAGGCCCTAACATGCAAAGCCGAAGTCGTGTGGGTTCAACGTAGGTGTTGATCTTACAAGTCGCCGGTTTGAATGAAGCACAAGCAGGCTGTTGATGAAAAGAGTACAAACAGGTGTTGATGAAAAAATATGAAACACTTACAGAGTTCAAACATAAATGCTTTTTGAAAGCAACATAATTACCGCTGTTTTTCATCTGGCCCATCCAAAATAGATCGTCCAACCGCTGTTCAGGAGCAGCTTTGTGGCTTGCCTGGGAACTACCCCGAGGCGCGTGTCACGTGTCACCGCACCGTCGTGAAAGGCGTATTCGAATACACCTCCGGGGTGTCCATGGACGAATTTGGGATGTGGTTCTTCCCAGACTCTCCAAACAGCCCGACAGGTCTCTCAAAACCTAGGGATTGGTTCGACCCCAGACCCCTCCATATGAGGGCCAGCGTCTGGCTTGAATGAAAGAATCTCAAATCCTATCCCCTATGGATCCTCTTACCGAACCTCAGCTTCGGTACGACTGGGCTCGACCATGAAGCCTACATAAATCATCTCCCCGCTCACCGTACCTCAGGTTCGGTATGTGGATCCATAGGGTATAGCAGATTGCAACCCAAAAAAATCCTTCTTAGTAGCTTCTTAGGCTGTAGGCATCTTGTTTGGCTATACAGGCATTTTGTTGGGCGTTTTAGGTCTAGTACACCCTGGGAGTCCAAGAATAGTGAAGCGAGTCTTGGACTTCCAGGCTTATACACATACAATACAATCATGTTGGTTATATACTATATACAATACACACACACACTGTATATATATACCTATAGAGCCTGACTGACCTTTGTTTTGATAGGAAAAGACCATATGTTGGATAGTTGATCCTCCAAAACAGGGGTCACTCAGGCTCCAGGTATATATATATATTTGTATTGTATAATTATACAGTAAAAACACATAACAATACTTAAGTACAAAGGGATCTCCACCTATTCCACCAAGAACATCCAAGAACCAACACCGCTGAAGCCGCTCTTAACCCGCAAAAGGACCTTGAGGCCTTTTTGGATCGGTCTGACCGGCGGATTTTCCACGGAGCGATGGACACGGTTGAACCGCCGTTGAAACCAACGCCATGGGGAAGTGCGCTAGCACGCGTGCGTTCAGGTGTGGAACCGGGTTCATTCCTTGGGGACGCGCTCTCCAGACGCGGTTCTATTGTCCCGTGTAATAGGAAAGGTCAAAGGCCTGGAACATGTCTTAAGCCTGGAACCAGGCCCCATCATCCACTGGGCCCAGGTAATCGGATCATATCGAATATACCCAAGAGCCTACCTGGCATGCGCCTACCTGGCAGAGGTGCCACAATGTACAAGATCCTCCACCAATAGCTGGCCAGTCTGGAGGAATTTCCAGGGAGCAGGCTCTCTTTTCTAGAACTCGAAAGCCACAAGTTCTCCTTCGAAATGGTTTTGGGGTGGCCAGGATACCGAAGTTGCAGAATGGGCGCCAGAGAAAATCCGTTGACCCCGAACAAGCGACATTTGTTATGCTTTTTCTGTGTTAGCAGGTGTAACAACGGAATGTCCCTGATTGCTTCAAGGGACTGGAAGAGCCACCTACATGCATGGGTCATCAGGGTCCATGCAACAGGTTTCTTTAGATGGAGCCGAAGGCTGGATGAGGATGGACACCGAAGCTCGGAACCCACCTGAACCCCCCTGCAAAGCCATCAATCGGGACCCCTACAATTCCCAGCTGGGTTGAGTTGAGTTCGCATCAAAACAGAGCGGCTAGGCTAGTTGATATTGGAGCAGCCAAACGCCGATCCTTACTCTGACTTAGCCAAAACCAAGACTTGGAATCTCAATCTTGCTCAACTTCGATCTTTTGTAGAAGACGTCTTTCAAGCAGTCAGCCATTCGCTGGTAAAAACCATCTGCACACAGAGCTCCACTTCCAAAGACCTTCCCTTTCAGAGCCGTTTGTCTAGCCGTCGACGGCAGCGACTGTGGCGGGTAGGTGGAGCGACTGCGGCGGCGCGTGCACAATGCCATTGAGGAGAGCGAGCCACGTCGTGAGAGATCACATGCTTCATGAACCAAATCCTTTCTTCATGTTTTTCTTTGTTTCTAATAGTGATGGCCTCCACCCTAATAGTGATGGCCTCCACCCTAGTAGTGATGGCCTCCACCCTAATAGTGATGGCCTCCACCCTAGTAGCGATGGCCTCCACCCTAATAGTGATGGCCTCCACCCTAGTAGCGATGGCCTCCACCCTAGTAGTGATGGCCTCCACCCTAGTAGCAATGGCCTCCACCCTAGTAGCGATGGCCTCCACCCTACATGAACCAAATCACATCCAAGAACTATGAAGACACATGATTGGCTAACTTTGTTGCACATGTGCTACTATATTTGTATGTCTGTTTTTTCCTAAAGGGCCGTATACCCATTTTCCTCCCCTCCCTCCCTCCCCTGCCTGCCCTTCCGGAAGGGCTTGAGCAGAATGCTCGAGCCGTCGGCTTGAGGACTTGAAGGGCCATTTGAGGGTCTTCTGCCGGGTCCGGCCCTTGAGCCAGAAGGACCCGGAGGGTTGGCCCGTCGTGGTGTTGTTCTGCTGGCGGAGGGGGGCGGTGCGGAGGGTTGTGGGGCGGGTGTATCTGGAGGACCTTGGATGTAGAGGTCCGAAGAACATATATAGGTTGGTGTCTAGGTTGGATGTGGAGGTTGGTGTCTAGGGATCCAGTCGTACCTCCTCAGGTTCGGTACGACTGGACCCGAACATGGCACCCACCCCAGTCCCACCGAACCTCAGAGGGTACGACTGGATCCATAGGGTATGAGATGGGACACCGAAGTGGTGGACCCTTTTATGGTCACCTTCCAGGAGGTTGTTGTTGTTTTTTTTAGCTGGGGCCAAAACCAGGTGTGTGTGTGTGTGTGTTAAGAGAAGAGGCATCAAGTGAATGAACTGCACCCTTGGAGGTTTTGAAAGGTCTCTCGGTGTCTTTCTGTTTACCCTAGGTCCGAAGACTATGCACCACCAAAGTAAAATTACATGTCCTTGGTTCTCGGGTCACCTTCGCCTAAGGAGCCTTATAAGGAGCCATTCTTTTACGTAGTCCACCTGACTTCCAGGGTATACGTCAATGGACGGGGGTGGTGTGGTGGTGTGGTGGTGATCCCACCACAGGTCCTTGGTGGTTGATGAGTAGTGCCAGACATACCCTGCTGGGCCGGTTCGCAGCACGTTCTGCCGCAGGAGCAGGAGATGGATGAGGAGGTGGCCGTCCGAATGGCCTGGGACGCCCAGAGGATGACGATGACGGGTTCGACGGACGACGGCGTCAATCCATCGCCGAAGTCAGGCGGCAGAAGAATTGGTTCATGGATGTTCATATATAGCTGTGCATGTAGCAAAACAAACATGCTGAACTCATGCTGTGCAAACATGCTGTATCATGATGAACACACCACCCAACTTGGGGGCTTCCGCCACCCACCGGATCCGATCGGTCCGATGTCGGTCGCTTCAGGTGGATGACAGGCGCATTGAGGTGACGGGGGCGAGGGTGGACGAGGGCGGCGGACGAGGTTCCTTTGGCAGGAAGCCATGTCCGTGCGCACGATATTCATCAAATACAGTATATGGTAGTGATAGTGACAGTGATTCATCATACTGGAATCCAATGGAATCCGGAGTCTTCTACCCTCATCATTCTAGTTAAGGAACGGTCAGCCTCTCCGACGCCAGCCCGCCGGCCCCGTAACCGTACGGCGCGGTACGCAGCGAGCGGTGACCCGGTCAGACAGAGCTCCTGGGACACTCCTTGTCAGCTGCCCTTAGAAGTACCCGTGGCCACTTGGCCCAGGGTAACCATGCATGTAATTATTAACTAATACTGGAATATTCTGGAGTACAAATGAATCACATCAAATTACAAAAACACTTTTGGAGGCAAGTCCTTACAATATCCTTCGTGACCATATACTATCAATCCTCCACCCCTGAGCACTTGGCCTTGCACCCAACCCCGCACTGCACGAACGTTCGTGCCACCCACCAACACCACCATCTCCCGCGTCCCGCAGCTCCCGCGCAATGGGGTCTTCACCTTCGACGGCGTCTTTGCGGGCGGCCGACAAGAGCAGATGTTCGAGGCGACGGTGCCGTCCACGCGCGGGGCACTGACTGGGGGAAGGCCTTCTTCCCGCACGTGCGGGGCCGGAGGAGGGCTGTGAGATGCACCCGTGGTTGTTTATTTTCATAGGGTTAGGGTTGGGACGCGAATGCGATGAGGAAGCGTCACAAGCAAGCAAGTGGAAGTGGGTGTGTGTGTGTGTGGCCGAGAAGTGTTGTCGGAATTCGGATTGTCCTTGTGTTTGGGGCTGGAGCAGGAGAGGAAGGAACTATAGTCTAGCTTAGTTCAGTCAGCAGTTTTGCAGAGTTGAGGTGATAGGACAGAGATGTTCAGAATTCCTTCGGGGTGTCACTTCCCATGAATTTTTCTTCACTGCCGAGAGATGCTCCAGGTGCAGGTCACCTGTTTGGGACGCATGGGTGTCCCACCCCAGTGGGTTCAGCACATGCACGTGGGTTCAGTTCGTTCGGTTGTGCCTGGATCGGTTCGCTGGCCAAACCGCTGCCGGCCACTCCTCAGCCCGCCCCGTCGAACATCTTCTGCTCACGGAATGAGTTCGAAGAGTTCGTTCAACGGCGGGATTCCCTATGCCAGACACTCCGTCTATGGTCTGAGACTGGTATACCGATCAGTTCGGGTGGAAGGGGTGGAAGTCGGGGGTCAGTTTTTTCGGCGGCAGTGCGACTGACTGTCCGACTGACTGTCCGACTGACTGTCCGTGTTTGGGTATGGTTTTGAGATGTTTTTTTGTGGGGACCGAGGGTTGTTTGGGGTGTTGAATGGTCCAGGGAGCCAGGTCCAATACGGAGTCTTTGAGCTCGGCCCCCACGTGGTGATGATGTTTCATCAGCTCACCATATCCGTTGAGCTGACCTCCCTGATCTAGCCCGCGCGTTTACGTGGTTTGGGTTAACGCTTTCGGTTAGTTGATGCAAAAGTACACATCCCTACAAGTCAAAGACCTCATTTTACTGGAGATGGTCAAGGAGGTAAAAGACAAGCTTTTGCTGGGAGACATCTAACTGCATGGATTGAATGGTCAGGAACCTGAATGAGTCGAACCCCCCTGCTGACAGCGCTGCAGACGTGCCGTGCTCACAGCCACAGCGGTATTCGCGGCAGGAGTGCAAAGATCTGGTTCAGAGCGCAGTAGATGGTCATAACGTCACCATCTTCGCGCACGGGTGCTGAGTAAGGGCCCGGGCTTGTCGTGCTGGGTATAACTCCTTGCACCGGCCGAAAGAGCTCAACCCAGAGCTCGACCCCTGTATTTGCTTGAACAGGAAGAGGTCATTCATATTGTTGGATGGTTGGTGGTGCAAAAGAAAAATGAGGATTTCGTCATCCAACTAGACTAGCAAGAGACCTCCAAGGAATGGGCCTTCCTGTCCTGATCTCAGAAAAACACACACAAGTTTCAAGCCGGCGGCTCCTTCCAGCGCCAGTTTCCCATTTGGGCCAGGCACGAGATGGTTCTCTCTGTTGAACGTCCACGAATCGACCCGGTCACAGGTCAGGAGTGATTTGCGGAGCTCTAGAACTCGTTGGCGCTCAGTTCTATGAAGGTTTTTCAGTCGGTACTCATCACCCCTTCTGGTCGGTGTGGAAAGAAGAAAGATTGTATGCCACAGCCGACACCGCGTGAGACACCTTTTCTCCGCTCCATTTTTGGAGCAGAGAAGACGGTGGCCACATGAACTCTAGCAAGGAAGACAGAACAGCAGCCACTCAAAAAACAGCAAGGAGGGTCCAACCGCCCACGCTCTTCCATGGTTTGCCAGGAGCGTTGATCCTGCCATGCACACGGCACCACGCTGCCCAGGTATGGACAGACAGGTGCAGGGAAAACCTACACACTCTATGGAACTCCTGAACAGGAGTGCCGCACCAAACAGCTGGGACTGGTGGGAAGAATCCTGATTGTTCAGTGCCAAAGGAGATGATAAGGAATCAAACATGAATCCACAATCTACACAAATGTGGCTGATGTTGTGACATGTTGTGACCATTGCCTTTGTTCTGTTTACCTCCTAAAGCTTTGTTGGAAGTCGTGAAACAGTTTGAATCTATTATAATCTGTTGACTTCTAGGCCATGTAGATTTGTTGTGAATATATGTGTACGACATTTGCAGAGCAGCTGTTGGGGTCGACAATCCGATCACACCACCTGTGAGTTCATGCCGTAATCCGATGCTGTCAGAGACAGGGATCATTGCAGCTCAAGTTTTCCTTGAGGGATGTGTTGCTTGACCTTATGCATACTACCCTTACAATGACAGATCTGTTTCAATCATTTGTGGACCCCCCTGGTATTTTTGCTGTTGTTGTTTGTTTATATAGTTCTGTTAAACAACATTTTTTCATGAACAAAGGGCATGGACCAGTGACCCACCATTGTTTCCCCGACCAGTCCACCATGCTTTGCTTCCTAACCTGTCCACCAGGTAAAGGGAAACGGTCAATAAAAACCGGTGCTTCTTTTGTTGCTATGACCAGTGAAACTGTTTGTGCTTTGACCCAGCACCAAGTCTCTTGACCAACTCACGAATTACGAATTCCAGTGTTTTTCGCTCAGCATCGGCAGGAGGGCATTGCTGGACGAGCCATCTCCGAGCTGTTTCAGGACGAGCTGTTTCGTCGGGACTGGGACGTCAGGCCTGAAGAGGTGTCCTGACCTGCCCAAAAGCTGGCCTGGTGGAGGACATATTCTAGCACCAACATGGCCTAAGCGGTTCCAGTTCGACTCAAACCGTGCTTCCTTATATCGTGGTAAGTGGGATCGACTGGCATTGGGAAAAGCACTTCATCATGGAAAGAGAGAATGAAGCGAGTCTGAAGGAGGTGTCAGCCATCTCCCACGACGTCCTTAAAAAAATTAAAGACTATATATATATATACCAGGACCCTCCAACAGGCTGTTTAGAGACCCTAACAGGTGGTTTCTGGGCACCTGTTGTCACCAGGAAGCACCTGTGAAGTCGGGTGCTGGTATATATATTACAGTAACAAGTCCCCAAAATGTAAGAACTTCTCTCACCTTCCCCTCCACTTCAAAACACTCGGTTTTGTGTTTTTTTCAGGCAACAGTGGACTTTCCCGAACCTGGATCACCCCCCCAAAAAAATCACCAACCCTGAAATGATGCCCCCTCTTCATCCCTCTTCCACTGCCCTTTCATGGTGTTTTGGGGCCACACGACCGCGCCGCCGAGCGCCCCGCCAGATTCTGGGGCGACAGCCCTTGTCACGTCGCTTCGTCGTGACGGCCTCCATGGCCCCTTGCCTCGGGTGACGGGTGACGGATGTGAGAGTGAGTGGATCCCAGGCAGTTCCCACGAGTACCAACGGCTGGGAACCAGGGGCTGGGATCCACTGGGTCTCACTGGATCCACTGGCCCGAATGGCCCGAACTCGTTCGCTGGAACGTAGACGGTCGAACGGTCGAACGGTGGAAGCACCCTTTTGACCATGCGAACGAACGGACTCGTGGTTTGCCTGGATGGTTTGGGAAAGAGTGGATGAGGATGAGGCCAACCAGGTAATCAATGGTACATCCTTCTGACATTTTTGAGCACGTGAGCAACTGCCGTGCCTGATGGTTGAATGGCCTTGACTGTACTTGGCATGCATTTGGAGGTGTTTGATAGATGAATGTTGATATTTAGGAGAAGAGTTTGTTGGTAGTGACCCTTTTAGATCAGGATTCCACTGATTGTTTACAGATCGTTTACTACATGCCGTTCATGTTTGCCCATGTACGACATAATTCACTAACTATCAAGAACTTTATTATTGCCATTATTGCTGTGTTGCCCGTATGTCTTTTGGATGACTACAGTACATCCAGCAATGCCAGAGTTGAACACTTCTGGATTTGACTATTAATGCTGCAGCTAACTAGGCAACAGCAATTCCAAAGTAAATAGCTCCATTAGCAAAGTTTGTTCAAAGGTTTATTTACTGCAGCAGTACTATCAACTGCTTCTGGATGAACTAATAGCTGCATTCTGTTCCCCTTTATCCATGTTACTGCCTGAGCTGTGTGGTCAGTTGGAGGTTGAGGTTATGCAGTTATGCATTGCATATCATTTCGTTGTATAAAATGATTTCATCTCCAGAAGGTGATAACTTTCTGGAATCACATCCCAACTGTCGACAAACAACAAACCATTGTGGAATTCCTTTGGAAATACTTCCTCAGATCCCAACCCTTTTGGAATTTAATCCGCAACGAAGCATTCGTTTGAAGCTTCTTTTGAAGCTGCGACTCGTTCCGTTTAAATGTACGTGAACACGGGATTTGAAAGGCTAAGAACTTGAAGGATTTCCTTTTGGAATCCAAAGTGGCTGCTTAAGGTTGTTTCTATTAATTCGACGAGCCACCCATTTGATGCAAAGCTTTCTTTGCAAAGTTGAAAGCTTTCGCTTGAAGTTGAATGTTTGTTGGAGCCACGGGCCTAGACAGTAGTTGTTCAATTTTTCTGCGAGATGACTGGGGTTTGCAGATCTTGAACAAGACGGTGATTTCCGCATGCATTTTTGACATGGGCTCAGGTGTGCCCAGGAGACAATCTCTTTATGTAGGTAAACCAGTGCTGTCACAAGCTTGCATTTGGTGCCCTAAAATGCGTCAATCTTGGCTCCATACCACATGCACAGCTGCTGTTATGGCCCGTTGCCAAGGGAACCAATGAGTATCCCCTCTGCGGGAGGGCGAATAGTCGCAGTGTACAGTATTGAGTTTGTATAATTTGGGTCTATATCCTATTACATGTATATAACAGTCAGTAAACAATTATCGCTATTTTTGGACAGGGCCTCCAATGTATCAGGTAATAGGATAGACCCAATGTATCAGCACATACTCTAAAACACCCCCCCACGAGTCAGCTCGGGACCTGACAGCTCAGCTCCACAACGACCATGAAGATCAGACGCAGAAAAGCGGGGACTGGACCCGCAGCGGGACGGGAACATGAAGCATCCAGGCTGCAGTATTTCTATGCAATGGCTGTCCTTCCAGGAGTAAGACTCCATAGTCCGAATCTGCTGCTGGGCGAGCGCTGCTGGGATCGATCCGTCGGTGGGATGACATGTTGCCGCACAAATACTACGGGGCCCCACATGTGTGTCTACCTGGAGTTCGATGAGGAGATGACGCTTGAGCATGCCCTGACCAGCTTACTGCCCAACACCTGGTGTGCTGACCTCATCGAGCAGAAGAACCTGAGGAAGCCTGAGTACAAACAGACTTGTACTCGTGAGGCTCGCACTTGTACTTGACGTGTCGTGTGGATCATGATCCTTTGCTATGTGTTTTCTCTACAGCTGCTTCCCCAGAAGATAGTACTCCTTCGCTGGTGCCTTTTTTGTTTTCCTGTTTTCCCCAAAACCGTGACAGAATGATCAAAAGGGGGCACCACCAATGAATGAACCGCATGTTCCTTTTGCTTGGAAGTTTGCTTCGGGTGTGTGGTTGGTTTTCTTTGTTGATGATAACTCAGACCAACTGCTGTTCCATCATGTTTGCTTTCAGCAGCAGGAAACCACACAAAACAGTTAAGGCACACACACACAAAGCAATTAGGAAGGGAAAAGGGACATACAAACACACACCCAGTGTGATTGTTACATATTGTAACAACATGCTCCCCCACAAGTGCATTCTCAACATGTTGCAAAAACATGCAAAGCTGCCCAAACCAGGAAAAATCAGGGGGTGATTACCCAGTATATGACACTTGAGGCCTGAAAAAGTCCGCCCTCAAGAAAGTGCAAAAATGATCTAATGTCCACCCAGCTATGCACCCTGGAAACCTGACAGAATATGTGAAGTACCTTCTACATCCTTCTACCAAGAACCAGGTGGAAAGTTCGGTCCGACCTCTATTTCCCAAAGAAAACGGCGTCCGCGGTTCCTCCACACTGACTGGGGTGGACCGCGCTCCGCCCGCGCGGACCCGCCGAGTTCGAGCTCTACCGGAACCGACTGGTGGACCTCCTGGCCGTTGCTCGAGGGCCTCGGCGTGGAAAGAGCTCGGGACACCCTGGGACCGTGATTGGTGAGGCGGGGCAGAGTGGAGACTTCAGAAACTGCTGAGGAAATCGATGGAAGTGGACAAACCACTTTACATATATAAATCGATTTTTATGTTTTTTTTTCCTTTATACTGGAGGTCTGATGAAGAGTTTTTGAATCAGATGAATGAGTACCTGCCGCGTTCCAGGACATCGGTTTGCGAGCGTGAAGACTTTGGTGAAGTCTGTCAAACCAACCAAGCCAAGAACGTGTTCACAGACTGGCACAGAACCACCAACAGAGATGACGTGGAGTTTAGACTTTAGACCGGTTCATGATCAATGCATGGTGAACCTTGAAGTGGCAACACGGTCGAAACAATTCTTACCCAAACCACAGCCTTTTGCAAACTCTCAAGCGAAAAGGTGTCCCTCGTGGATTTTATTATATAAGTTTCAGTACTTGGACCCTGCTATTTTTTGACTTTGCACCACACGGTTTCGGTATGTCAGCGGTATCTTATGATATCTCATATCATTTTTTCCCGCACAAACACCTGGGTGTCCACTGCTCCTAACCAGTCAGTGAAAAACCTTCAACTGTCTTCTGGGATTTAGGGACGCCCCGCAGAAATCCAACGGGTGGGACGGGTGGGTCTGGGACCCTTTTCGAGTTGAAACCAAGCGGACAGGTGGACACCAATGATTCACTCAGCTGTTGCACACTTCCTTTTTTTTTGGCGGGGTCGTTGAATATCGGATTCATGTATACAGTTCGATTATATAAAAATTATAGGATCCATTGATTCAATATTGATGTATATGTGTAATTAGAAAACATGAAATAGGGAGACCCTTCTCCTCGACCGCAGCGACTTTGCCTTCTGCCGACCCAGGTCCCCCTTGCAGCCCCAAGCTGAACCTTCGGCCGGGGGAGTCTGGAGCACAGGCGCAGCAGAGAAACGACGAGCGGGATGAGTGCCAAGGTCTCCATGTGTCCCAAAGCTGGTCTCCAAACTCCTCCGAGTGAATCCCAGTCCGAAGGCTGAGAGAGGAGCCGAATAGCCTGCCACAAACAGATCAAATAGGAGTTCACGAGTTGACTTCATCCAATCATGCACATCATATTCAGTAGCCTCATAGAAAGTAAGTGGATGAGAAGCCCGATTCACAATATCCTGCAACCACCATCGATGATGTAGGAATTTGCCATGGAAATGCCAATAGAATCTTCAAAGAAGCCGCTGTGGATGTAGCAGCCCAGTGATTCCAACCTTGCCCTGGCGAGTTGTCATGATATCTCACACGTGTTGAGGCTAAAGGCTGTTTGAGAGGCGATTGCAATCCCCCAAGAGAACAACAGTGTGCCTATCTAACCCACAGTGTAATTAGTCCAGTTGGCACCCATATTGAACCAGCCCTGTCATGCTTCAACAACTGTAGGGCAAGTGGGAGAAGGCATGATAAGGCAAATGACATGAACTCATTGGTAGTAAGTAGGAGTCCAACGACAGTTTTTGGTGAGCTGTTTGTTGGAGTGTTTGTTTCACCCGTGGCTAGATGTGGCCACTGACTGTTGGAGACTTCCGCAGGTGGACAATCTGTCGGAAGAGGAAGTTCAGGACCCATGGGCGGAATCCATGTTCGGTTTGATCGCGAAATCGACTGAAAGAAGATGGATTGGCCTACCACGTGACTGACTGGTTGGGCAATCCCTGAATTGTTGAAAGAGATTCTCAGTCACATACCTGTGCCTTCCAACAATGATGTTTTTGTTGGGCCTTTTGGCGGGTTTTCGAGATGAAGAAGCAGACATGTTGTGTTGCTTCGTTGAACTAGTTGGAGGATCCAGCGATATGATCGACATGGGACCCCATGAGGGCCCTGTGACAAGAGAAGACAATGAGAAAGCCATCCCGGTATGCCGCATGTATACGGAGACCTCCCAGGCGTTCCGGCCCCCCGCAAAAAATGGAGAACGTCACATTGATGCGTCCCATTCACGGCAACCTTTAGTAAAAGGCGAAAGATTGGTGCGCTATGAAGTGAACGCTGTGATGACTACATTGGCTTTCCTTGGCTTTCATGCCACAGAGATTCTACACACCCCTCCATCATAGCCATTCCGTGAACACTTTTCTGAAGGACTCTGCTCTTGGGAAGGTTTGGGAGCGGACTCGGTCGTTGGGTCGGACAGGACGCCATGCAGCTCAAGCGGCTCCTCTACCGAGGCGCTGCAGGGATGCTTGCTGAACCCGGACGCTGTGGAGCGTCTGTGGTGGGGAAGGGGGACTTCGACCGGGTCTGTGGTGGTTGGGGCATCCGGTGGAAGAGTCACATCGGCCGTTGAGGGGGGAGGGAAAGAACACCCACCCATGAAGTGGCATGAAGATGTAAAATGACCCATCAGGAAAGGATCCAGAAGTCCTGAAATTAAGTGTACACTTCCTGAAAGAATCATGGGCCAGCATGGATGGGAGTCGGTTTTGGATGACCATGAAATCCGAAGACCAAACCAGGTGGTGGTTTTTCACGTCCACGTCCACGAGTCTTTCATTAATAGTGCAATTCCATCACTCATCTAAATGGTGAAACGACTTGGAAGTTGTAGACTGACAAACACCGCTTTTTCCCTTCAAACAGCCGGATGGATGGAAGAAAGGTGACTCCTCCCCCACCGACCTTCCTTTCTTCACCATGGAGGAACCGGAGAAACGGCCCGGTTGTGACCTATAGCCTATATAGTGGTTTCAGATTTCAGAGCACACTGGTGCACCAAACGGGGGAATACCGAATACCAAGCAAAAAAGACCACTAATTCCAATTAAATCCATATCAATAAAATTAATATATATAAATATGTTCCTTTTGATCGCCCGGCCCCAACAGGTGTGGTAAATGGACCACCTCTCATTTAAAAGACATCTGAAACAGCACCCGAGACCTGCCAGGTCATCACCTGCGACTGAAAAACGTCTGCAAAGACCACCATTTTGGAGACCTGTAGAGTCGGGTCCTGGTTCAAATTGTACCATCTACTCTCAATCCCCCAGAGGCGACCCTGGACCTGAACCAACTGCGACATGTTGGTTCGGTCCCGTTCACCCTGGCGAACTGAGGGTCCGAACTCTGAGCCTCTCAATCCACTGAGCCTCTCACCGGACCCTTCACCGTCCGATTCCCTTCCATCCGGTCACCGGAGAAAGACCTTGCCCGGGATCCGTTGGTAGGTAGCGAAGCGACCCGGTTCCGAAAGAAAACGGACCCGACGTTTTGGCACCTACATACCATGTGTCGAACACTTGTCCGTACCTCGGGTAATGTGAATCCCGGTTGATGAGCCCCAGAGTCTCCTTGTTTGGAACGGGGGGGTGACTCTGCCGACATTGACGGTCTGATCAATCAATCACCCCTCGCTTTCGTGCCCAAGGGCGATCTGCCAGGTTCAGCGGTCCGTAGCACTGCACCCAATGCTCTTAACGTTGAGAGCTTGGGGGGCCCAGCGGGCAGGCAGACGGGCCCAGCGCGGTGGTCCCTCTTCGAGTCTACGGAACCCTAAGTCTCAAGGGTTTTCGGGTCTCCCGTCTCCAGCGGGACACTCCGTTCATGGCTTCGAAAACATGTCCTGCTAAATGAAACATAATGAAACATGTAATATGAGTATGACAGGTCACAGTAAAACGAATGATTCCCCCATGGATCCAACTACCCTCTGAGAAGGTGCTTGGGGTGGGTGCCAGGAGGGTCCAAGTACCTTTTGAGGAGGTACTTGGATCCCTAGGGTTCAGATCCTTTTTGGCACGGGTCCCAGGTCACTGAGATTCGGAGCTACATCGAGATTTGGGGAGGAAATTAGGACAGAGTTCTTCTTCAGACGACCAGGTTCCCAGAAATCACGACGAGCTATGTCCGTTGAAAGAACATCTTCCAGAGCGCCAGGGCATCGTGTGCCAGCGAATTTAAGACTAACATCTATATAGCACACTTGCTGCAAGTATACGATCATATCCAATCTGTTGTGGGTTTGACCTTTGATCCACACAAGGTGCACAGAAGCCTGGACGACTCCGGAAATTGCTGAAAGGGCAAACCATATATGTGTCACGCGCAGCGCGTAATTTCATTCACTACGTCGCACGTGTTGCAAGGTGTGTTTGCACGTGTTGGTCCCTGTTAAAATAGAAAAAACAGAGGATGTGTTTGTGTGTTTGTTCCCCGACACAATTTGAAGGTGATGTTGTTGGGTCTAGCATGGTCGTTCGCTATGTCCCGGTTTTTCTGACTTTGCCCTGTCAGAGGTTTCCCACAAACTTGCGGAGAACCTTTGAGTCAAGTTGTTCTTGAGGGAATTGGGGAAAGCCGGATACCACACTAAACAAGAACACATTGGACAGTTCTTCTTGTGCGAACGAAGTCTCGACTTGGGAGGGATGGACTCCTTTACGCCTCCTAAGCCTCCACCCAGATCCAGTCGTACCTTCTCAGAAGGTGATTGGAGACAAGTTTCTTCTGAGAAGGCACGACTGGATCCATAAGCGCCTGAACAACCACCCCATCGGTGCAGGGTATCTGCAGTGTCCCTGCAGAATTCGTTGGACCCGCGGGGGACCTCTCTCAGGTTCGCGATCACACTTGATCTTCACCATCAAGGCCGCCCCGTTGGAGCGCCCGTTTGGGAGACGAAAGAGTCTAGACCCTTAGCATGTCGATTGACCAGATGCTCAAAGTAGATAGAATATTGAGTGGCTTCTCAGACATATTATATACCAGCACCCTCCTGTTCATTTGATTCCTCCTTTGACAAACCATACAAGCGACATTCAACGCACAGGGGTCGGACCTAGCTTGCGGTTGGGGTTGGTGATGAACATCTGATCCCAGGAAGCCACGAGTCGTACGGAACCAGGGGCCGGGTTCCGTTCGGCCAAACTGGTGAACGGTCGTCGTCGTCGTTGCCTGGAAGCACTGGGAAGGCCCAGCCTCTAGTCGTGGATCCACAGGGTGTGGTGTTATATAGGTACAAAACAACACACAAACGAATAAAAACAGAACAGAGTTTTGGGATATTTTTTCTTTTTCTACTCAAAGATTCGTTTGCTCTGGTTGGGTCGTCGTTGCCTGGAAGCCACTACAACGACACGTTCGTGACCTCCGTGGGAACTACCCGGAACTGGATCCGCTGAGCTTAAGTTTCACTCGTCAAGTCTTCGCCAGGTTGTCATCCCCGCAGTGCATTGCAGTGGTTGGTCCAGTAGAACACAGTGCATTGATTGGGGCGAACATCAACACCTATAAATCGGACATGATCTCCTAGGTGGTTCCGAGATGCTTGTGTTCAGCCTTTACTTGGGATGATTGAACCTACCGACGAGTATTTTTCGTATTCCTTCCCCAAACAGCTTTGCTGTGAGGGGTTCGCAATTCTTGCATAGAAACGATGCTGGGCCAAGATGATTCCCGCCTTTGTCTCCCCTTGTCTCCCATGGCATGTCTGAATGCTTGGCTGAGATGATTTTGCTTTTTTTGTCTCCCCTCGTCTCCCATGGCATGTCTGGATGCTGGGCTGAGATGATTTTGCTTTTTTTGTCTCCCCTTGTCTCCCATGGCATGTCTGGATGCTGGGCTGAGATGATTTTGCTTTGTCTCCCTTGGTCTCCCCTTGTCTCCCATGGCATGTCTGGATGCTTGGCTGAGATGATTTTGCTTTTTTTGTCTCCCTTCGTCTCCCTTTGTCTCCCATGGCATGTCTGGATGCTGGCTGGGCTGAGGTCACTTTGCTTTGTCTCTCCTTGTCTCCCCTTGTCTCCCATGGCATGCTTTGACTCCCTTCATCTCCCCTTGTCTCCCATGGCGTGTCTGGATGCTGGGCTGAGATGATTTTGCTTTGTCTCCCTTCGTCTCCCCTTGTCTCCCATGGCATGTCTGGATGCTGGGCTGAGATGATTTTGTTGTTTTTGTCTCCCCTTGTCTCCCATGGCATGTCTGGATGCTGGCTGGGCTGAGGTCACTTTGCTTTGTCTCTCCTTGTCTCCCCTTGTCTCCCATGGCATGCTTTGACTCCCTTCATCTCTCCTTGTCTCCCATGGCGTGTCTGGATGCTGGGCTGAGATGATTTTGCTTTGTCTCCATTTGTCCCCCGTGTCTGTCCTACTGTTAGGCTTCGAGGGGCTTCTGCGAACTGCAGAGATGCTCTCTTTAACTACCAGTGACATGCTGTTTCGAGATGGTGTTGGCATCTTGCGTCTGCCTGACACAAAGACTAGTAAAAGCAAGAGCATGGAAGAAGTGGTCATCATTCGGCACCCATGGATCTTGACGATCGCGCAGGTTGTTCAAGTAATGTATGACCGACACACACTGCACGTGTACAACCACACCGATCTCATGGGGAACGGTTATCACTTCGACGCGCTGATACGTGGCCCGCTGTGGAAGCAAGACGCAGACATGGGGCACGTACAAAATGTCGTGGTTGCTCTACAGAAGGCTGCGCCAGAGACGTCGGCGCCGAACGTGCAGCGGCCACCAAGAAATGCGGCTACAACAGCAGCTGCATTTGATGCCAATTTGGCAGGAAAGCAAACAACGTTTCCGGACGAAGTTCCGTGCTTACTGCGCATGTTTTGGTTTGCACCAATGTAAGTTCCGACCTTATTCAATTCGCCCGTGCAGGCGCCACACACTTGCTCCAACAGACCTTGTCTTATGACCAGACTATTCATACTGGGCGCTGGGCCTCGATTCGGGCCGCGCGTCTACAAGATGGTCTGGCTCATTTGCCGTTGCTGGCGCTGAATGAGCGGTCAAAATACCAAAGTGGACTCCTTTTTCTCCCTCATCCGCCTGATGCGACAAGATAGAAGTCCGTGGAATAAGACTTGTGTGACTTTGAAGGTTGGTTCTTGTTTTGAGTCAAAGATAGCTCCTGCCGGGGAGCAAGATGTGTTCTTGATTGATCCTCTGCCGGGAGGACAAACAAGTTTGATGAATAAAGTTGAATGAGGAAAATTAAAGTGGATCTCAACGATTCCACGTCTTCTTTGGCCCAGACACAGAGTGTCTGAAATGAGCGCCATGGGTGCACAGCAGCAAATGAACAGATTGAGACACAAATATACTACATCTGGAGGTAGGTGCTTGGGGACGACATCATCCCAATCAACATCAATTTGTCCATTGCTTTAGAAAGCTCTAGACTGTTCCAAGTGGGCCGTGGGAACATCGGAACATCGCTGTGGCAAGCCAGGTGACCACCATTGATGGCCCAGAGCAACTCACTGGGAAGCTGGTGCTGGCGTGCATCCCCAGCTGGTTCCGGGAATCGCTTGATGGGCGGGGCTCTTTGCGACGCCTTTCCGAGATCGCTTTTGCGGATGTTGGTGGACATAGATTCGATTGGCGTGAAACCCTTGAGATTTCTCAAATGCTTGGTAATCATGTTTGTAGCCTAGTCCTAGACACTCCATGGGACTGGAAGACCCTTTTTCGACCACCCCAATGTAACTAAATGCAGCATACATTTATACTCGTGTAGTTGCAAAACAGGACAGGCAAAGGGGGATCCTTGCATCCATATGCATGAATACAATGAATATCACGACCTCTTGAAATCTCACACCATAGATCACCATAGCTTGAAAACCACTTGCAGCGCGAACTTGGCAACGGTCCCACCTCCTGCCATGATGGTGTTTTGTTTGTTTTGTTGTTGTTGGGCCCACTGTTCCTCTTGTCGGGCGGTCGGGCGGTCTTACTTTGGTCGTTTGATGAAGAACATAATTCCTTGGAAATGAATTCTCTTCTGCATCCAGACCATCCCTTCTGAAGGGACCAAACATCCTCTTTGAGTTCATGACCAACCAATCCCCTTGTGTACCTTTCCAGAGCCTTCCAATCTCTTTGAACAAACCCCAACGGATCCACACAGTTCCCACGATGTCACGTTCCAGGCAACAAAGACCATAGACTCATAGACTGACCGGAACGGGCCCCTGCGAACTGGGATCTGAACTGGTTTTGACTTGGGATTGACCTAGCTGTTGGGGGAGGAACGTTCTCAAGGCAATGCCGGAAGTGGGGAATGTTGTCGATTGGCCAAAAGCATCGCCATAAGTTGTGAGGTGTTACAGTTGGCCCCAAGGTGTTTGAAGGCGACGCCTGAAACACGGTCCAAATCGCTTGAGAACTAATTGTAGCCTGTTCCTTTGTCATTTTTGGGCTCTATAGTGTACATCAACATTTTCTTGTGGACCGAGAGCCCAGGCAACATGATCTTTTAATTCCAAGGTGAAGGTTGCACAGCTGGTGTAGGTATTTGTGTATAATACAACATATTATTACTATATACAGTCATGGAGTAGTATTGGTTCAGTGTTCTGACTGCCTAGAACACTGCATTACTCACCCGTGTCGTTCTCCTCCCCCTTTCGACGTCCACCCAAGTCACGCTCTCAGCCGCGCTCGCTCAGTGCGACCTGGGCGGCTCTGAGCGGCTCAAGAAGAGTGAGGCACCGGCGGGCCGGTCGTCTCGGGCCGCGAATGTCGTCTCGGTCGTCTCGAAGAGGCCGGTAGCGCTGGCCGTAAGGCACCCAGCGCCCAGGCTGAGAGGCATTTGTTTTTTGGGGCTTTATGAGTGGCATGCTTTCAGAAGACACTGTGTTATTTGCGTGGTTTTCTGGTGTGTTTCGAAGATTGTAGCTGTAAACACCAATATATGGTCTACATTCACCACCAGAAGACACCAAATGCAGGCCATATGCATACACTGTGTGTTTGGGTAGTGGAATAGCACAGTTTTTCAGAGACAAACACTTGCATCTTCGACGGGACGGGCGAAGAAAAATCCCTGGGTTCATCGTGTCCACTTCTCTCGCATCGCTCCAAACCCAGAAACTCCATGTCTGTCATAGGACTGCCGCCCCGACCCCGAAAATGGCCCACCCCTGGCCTGATCGGCTTCATCTCCCAGTCCCAGACGGGTCGTGTCTTGGGAAAACTGCACGCTCTCCTGCTCCCAGGCGACCGGGGAGCAGCTGAAGGAGGCCATTGAGATCAACCGCTCCTTAACGGCCTTGGGCGACGTCATCGAGGTGGGCGACGTGACGGACCGCCATGCGGATCAGTTGACCCCTGATGGCCCCCAATTGGTCGGCAGTCCTATGGCAGTCCAATCGGTGGTGTGTTGGGATAGGTGGACACCGTGTGGCACCACGTGGTTCACGCGTTTCCCCGGACGGGACGGCGAACCGAAGCCAAAATCACCGGAACCTGCTGCCGCTGCCGTTCTTCAATGGTTGTTCTTTGCCGCCGCTGCGGAATGGGAACCATTCCTCGCGGTGCAGGCGGTGGCCGAGAGGAAGAGACAGGTGCCCTACCGGAACCACAAGCTCACACAGCTCTTACAGGAACTTCGTGTCTTCGCGATGCGCCGTTTTCGCGTCATGCGAGGGGGGGGAGACACCGCGTTGGTCGCAGCAGCTGGTCGGTTGATGGGTTTCAAGGCAGACACTCCTGGCCGAATGGTGTATCGATGCCGCGAGTTCCTTTTTGTCCCATTACAGCGGAGTTGTCGCTGGAGGATTCACCACAGACCGCCAAGACCAATGAAAACTGGGATTTTGTTCTACCAAAAACTGATCATTCAGATAGTGAACACCAGATTCTTGATCATGTAGACTCTTTTCATTCATAAGCCCCATATGAAGAGGACTTTGCGCATCCAAATGGGATGGTTGATGGTCCTGTTGCCGAGTCTACATTAGCTTGGGGACACTGATATACAGTACCCTGGCTTGTGGCCCATTTAGCTTGGAGCAGCTAGTGATCCACTAGCAGGCTCGGTGTTCTTTCCTCCTACATGGTGGGCCTCGCTGGTTCGCTGTGTTTCGTGTTGGACGGCGGACGGTTGGTGTTTTGAGAGAAGCGAATTGATGCAGTACTTTGCTTCAGAATGCATCAGACATGCAGTACTTGACGATTTTGATGCGTACACGTTTTCCAAGATCTGAGACACTGATACTATACTCTCAGTCCATCTTAGTCCCCATTCATCCCAAGGCTAAAGGAGTGCGTCAGACATTCTCCTTCTTCCCGGTGTGTCATTTGTTCACCCACGTGCCACACCTTTCGCCGTCGTGAAGTAGATAGCTCGCCAGGGATGTATGTATATAGATATAAGACATACGCTCCGACTAACTAACATGGAAGTGCAAAAACCTCTGTTTGTAAAGGAAAGTAGTCTCCCAAGGCACCATTGTCCACTTCCATGTGATGTGTTCGTCAGAGTGTAGGTATCCTTTAGATCATTCGGTGTTTGTCATTATTGCCTGTAGAGCCGTCAGTGCACAAAGCAAAATCCTCACCTTCCGCTTCTTGCGCTTTGCTCTTGGAATCATCCTGGTTTAGTACTTGTAAAGGAACATGGATGGATCCGACATCGGTGCCATTTGCATCCACTGTCCGCGTAAGAATTCAGAATGATGACTGTACTTAGGGCGGCGACAGCCACATCACTTTAAACAACGGTGATGGTGGGCCTTTCTTCGGAACAGAAGTGTTGTCTTTCTTCGCGCACTGCGGCTCTGCGGCTCAAGAGCTGTGGTGTGCCGGAGAGACATGACTCATGAAGCTGCCACTAGACTGAAGACAGGTACTCACCTCTGGAGGACAATGGTCGTCTTGAGGAAAAGGACAACAATTGCTTGGTGTTTCAGGTGGCGTCGGAATACTGTTACGTAAAATTCGTAGAATGTTTGAGATATGGCTAATTAGGTTGCCTGGTTCATTGGCAGAAGCACACAACTGAGTGAGTTCCTGTGACTTTCCTGTGACACATTGATCATACCCACCCAGTGGATGGTCTTCAACCTTGTTTGGACGCCGGCAAGAACCCCACTCCAATCCAACAGCTGAGCTGGAACCGATCGATCCAAAGGCCCCCCCAAAGGCCCCCAGCGGTCGAGTCAGCAGATCGCTCTCCACCCATGAAGTCGTCGCGGAAGAAGCGGACCTTCCAGATTGGGGGAGGCTCAAAAATCAGATCACTCTCATCCAATGGGCAGTCTTTATCCCAAAGAAAGGCTGAAGGAATGAAAGAACACATGAAAGACAACAGGTTTACGCTGGTTGTCTCCTTTACACTTGGTCTTTTGCGTGGCATCCAGCTCGAGCTTTCGCCCAGCATCCACCCAGAAAGAACCGCGGAAAGCAGAACTGATTTGGACCTACCCAGATGCGTGAAAACAGCCCGACAGGTCCCAGTACAGGTCCTCCGGTATTGGTGAGAAACCCCAGACCCCTCCGAATTCGGGTCCGACCCCTCGGGTCGCATCTGGGTGGATCGATCGCTCAGTGCGCGAACCCCCACGCCGAACCCGCACCGTTCAGTGCCCAAGCCGCAGCGAAAAACATGAGAAACTCCATGCGCAGAACACGCCCACCGTTCACTTTGTCTCTCCAACTCCAATCCCCTCGTACCGACGCCCAAAAGCACCGACGAACCGTGCGGCAGCACATCGCGCGCGCCGTCTGCACGGACGGACTCCAACCGCACGCGCCCGGGCGCGGCACCGCTGCCGGTCCGAGGAAGCGTTTCTTGCTCCGCTACGATCCTCCAGGAGTGGGATTGGAGGCCTGAGGGCCCGGGGGCGAAAGAGGTTGGAGCTGCAAAATGAAATCAGTGGACTTGGCACTGGTATAGGAGGGGTCTTGATTTTGCAACAGATATACCATGATATACCAATATACATCATTACCATTTTGTGTGATTGGGGTGTGTGGGTAGTCTGCTTGGGCCTATGGGCAATTTCAGTGGGGTGTAGCCTAATGCATAATGATTCATGTATGCAAATATGCCCTACATGTGGTGGCTTTTATTGCTAGACTGTGAGACAATGTTATATTCCTTGTGTCAGTCGCTTGGACTAGGAAGTCGTGTTCCAATCCAATTATTTGTTCTTTAGGTATGGGAACGATTCAACGTAAGGAGCAAGCACCTGATTGGGAGTACAGCAAACACATGTTTCCATGAGCGCAGTTGTTTGAATGGTTTGTTCTTGGGCCAGACAGGATTGGTTGTCCCTCTAAGCCCTAATCAGTGTTTTACATTCAGGCATTATTCAACTATTTTTGACTCACATGACATGCTGGGACACCCCAGATATCATAGGGTGGAGTTTTGCTTAACACCTAATATTATTCTATAATTGCCCAAAAAGGAGCGAGTGAGGGTCGCCAGGGTCTCCAGTTCTTCCCCCATTTTCACAGGGAGCTGGAACTCGGAGGGAGCGACCACGGGAGTAGGGTGGGGTCAGAAATGGAGCTGGAAGTGCACCGGAAGGCCAGATCCAAATGAGGTCCAACTTAAGTTATAGAAATACCCTAGGGCTCTAAGTACCTCCTCAGAAGGTATCTGGACCCTCTGAACCCACCCCAAACACCTTCAATAGGAAACATCATAGAATAGATTGCCATGTCCATGGTCAACCTAACTAGGAGCAAAGGGCATCGCTACTAGGGGCTCCTGGCCGTACTACTAGGAGCAAGCACAAGAAGCTACCCCGTCCACCGCACATACCAATGTTTTCTTTAAGCGGCTTTAACCCACCTGCCGGACCTGTCTCCCTTGTCTTCCACCCGCCCAGTGGGCCGTGGGCGTCCCCGACCCACCGGTGAGAGCACCCCCTTCACCGCAGGTGGAAGATGACGAGCACCAGCTTTCGGTGCAGCACAAGAACCTGCCCGCCAAGTCGGAGGTCTCCTCCGCCAAGGCCGGGCTGCTTGGTCAAGCGGGCGTCAAGCGGCGTCACTCCACCCAGGGTCCAAAGGATCTCAACTTGAGCAGAAAGACCGGTGATTTCGAACACCCTGATGGCAGCCCATGTCTTAGACAGCACTGGCACTGGCAGCCCTAGATGTCTTAGACAGATGATATCGAATATGCTTCACCACCCAGCCGATTCGTGGTTGCCTGGGATTCGGTCCGGATTCCGGGTCGCAGCGGGTGCTAGTGCTCGCCATGGAAACGAACGGTGTTTGTCGCGATTTCTCCTTGCGGATTTGGTTAATTAAGCAATCGTTGCGGTGTTTGTTCGTGATGAAGCAATCTCAGACACTCCCAAATGGGACTGGCAGATGCTGTTTCATCGCCATTTTCCTCTTTAAAATCATGGACCCTGTGCCCCACTCTGTGCGCCATCGTTTTTAAGACCATCATTTGGGGTACACCTCAAACATGGCAAGCCGGACTGCCAGACACTCTATAGAATGGGGCACCAACCTCTGGAAGGCGTGCAAAAAAGAACCCCATATTTTTTGGCTTGAGGATTGGAGTCTAAGCCCTGTGGCTGCCAAGTGCCAGCCGCAAGAACATTTGGGGAACATTCACCAGAGGGTTGTGGACACCCTTAGGGTTGGACCCTCATTTTATAGAGGAGAGATCGTATGAAGCTTGCTCATCCAAATTATGTGGACTAATTTCTGATAGTTGGACATTGATTTTATAGAGACGATGCACTCTAGCATAGCTCAATCCAGATTCTATAGCAGATTGCCGTGTTGCCAAATTGCTGGCCCTGCCACCCAATCGCAGTCCCTACTTCTATATTGCTTGTCGTGATTGTCCCGATGAGAAAACTCATTGCATGCTCTTGATGGTCCGCTTTCCAAGTGTGTGGTGTCCAGGAAACCAATTCGATCAAAGGCATCCAAATGCACACTTTGATTGGACACAACTTCCCAAGAGCTTCAGGTCTCCCTGCACAGATTGTGCGTATGAGGAGGGTTCAAGAGTTCCTCTTGACTTTTGGTTGGTGCTACTCATGCACACTCCACCGGAGACCATGCATCGAGAGAGAGAGAGAGAGAGAGAAAGGTTTGAGACCGTTCATGGTTGGCCTTGGGACAAGTGCCAGGGTACCAGGTAATACCAAAAGGACCATGTCACTGTCGAAAGAAAGACCATGGCCTGGTGGACGCCCATGGTCTGGTTTCGGTTTTAGAGACCATTCCGGAAGGACATCAACGGCCTGGTGGACGCCTTGATCGATGAGGAGTCCACGCTGCTCACGCGGCGGCGACACCGAGAGGGCAACTTGGTGGACTGTTGGTGGACTTGTTGGATGGGATGTAATTGCGGCATTTAATGTGTTTTTACATGTCAGAAACAACTTTGATAGGATTTGATTTCCCGGATCATCCCGGATCCAAGCATGTCCGGGTGAAGGTGGATGAAGGTGGTTACTGCCAAGGGTTTTTTGCACCTAATCCGTTTAACATGGTGATTGGATAAGCTTCAGGTGCTTCTGTTTGGGTTTGTAGTTTGGGGTCCACATGGTTTGGAATTCCTTTCAATTCCTCCATTCCGTTCCAATCACGGAACATCCTCCTTACATTATGTATACTTCTATGAGATGCCTTGCGCTTATAAAATGCAAGTTGAGAACACGTAAGACGCCACCTGAGTGCATCAAGTAAGGGGGAGATGGGAACATCATACATCATCATACCATTGGCAATCCAACCGACCGACTTTGCAGTGAACCTTTGTGAACGAACCTTACCTAGCGCATCCTGTCTGGGTGTCCTGGCGGGACTACTCCATACGGGATCTCCATATATCCCAGACACTCCATGTCTGTCATATATGCCTCCATTGACCCCTCAAACCACCCTACTGTAGGTAAAAACAACCAGTCCCACGGGTCGTTGGGTGGATGGTCCGGACAACCGGCTCCTCCGTGCTCCGCTTGCCGGCCCTCCCTCCTGCACGCGCGGAGAGGTCCGCACGGGTACGGAGCGGATGTGGCGCTCAGGTCTCATCCAGCTGCTCTCCAGGCTCTATGAGGTGGACGTGACCCAGGCTGCCGAGGCCCGGGGGTGTCGAAGCGGTCCCGAGTGGGTCCGCAGCGCGGAGGTGTGGGCCCCTGCAAGGTTTGGGTGGGGGGGAACCGCAAGCAAGACGTGTCAAACCTCTCCTATCGTCTGTAACATAAAAACTTCTGGCTCCACACCTCCTGACCTGTCCGCCACGTGGACCGCGTCCGACCGCGGTCTCTCCGCGGTGCTGCTTCGCGACTGAGGCGGAAAAGGATCCCCCTGCGGAGGAGCCTGAGGAGTCGGACGCGCTGCAGGGCGCGCAGGTGGTGCTCACCGGCCTCACTGGATCGCAACAGGCGCGGCGGACGCGACCAGGAGACCGCGACGCGTCTCCGCGAGAAGCGGGACGCGTGGAGCGCGGGAGGATCTTGGGTGAAGGGGATATGGGGGGGGGTTGGGGACTTGGAGCGAAGAGGCTTTGGAGACTGAGACGGGTTCAAAGAGAGTCAATGGGTAGCTGGGGCCTCGCTTGAAGTCGTATCAACTGGAGGAAAGTCGTATCAATATGGTGTGCCCTTGGGGGTTGACAAATCTATGGATGTTTGTTGATGATGTTATTTATGGTTGTTTTGTTTCGCTACTAGGGTTCACTGGAAACATGTTGTTCCTTTGGTTTCCTGATTTAACGCTGTTCCTGCAAAGTTGCAAGATGTTGCAGAATCTAGCAGTGTGTTGTGATTGGTTGGGAAATCAGCTATGGTCAGGCTGGAATTCACCATTGATTCGGACCATGTTTTCTGGACCAAAAAGGGTTTCTTGTTGCATCCTTTTGGTGAGCCATGCCCGTAACAGAATCTTTCCACAAGATTGTGTAGGATTGTGTAGGTCAGTCTTCCTTGTGTTCTCGGCATTCCGATCAATTTAGATCAGAAAAGAGGCCTTCCGACCGGTCAATCAAGAGACATCCTCGCCTTCGGTCGACCGTCACACATGGCTCTGGAGACGTGAAAACGGTGGCCAGGGCTTCAACGGGGAGGTGGGGACGGTAATCAAGTCGAAGGGCGAGAAGCAGAAATATGAGGTCGAAGTGAAAGGACCCGAGTCGCACCCGGTTCCTGGGTGGGGCGCCGCCTCCTTTTATGGGGTCTTTAGTGGGCCTCTCTCAAAGGGTGGGGGTCTTGAAAAATCTTGGGGTGCCCTTGGTGATATATATTGGGTGATAAATTGACTTTGGTATTTATAAGATTGGTTATATGTTCATTGTGTGCAGGAAGTAAAGTGACAAATACCTTGGGAGAATGACAGAAGTGGATTGACCTGTTGCATTGATTGCGTCGGCGTTCAGCAACATGGTCCCTCTCCTGTTTGCCCATGATTTTTGTACAACAGTGTCCTTCTACAACAAGTGTTTCTTTTTGTTGAGGTTTGTAAATATCAGTATACATTTATAGTCATAGTATATAACAATTGTTCATGTTGAACGATGCTGGTGCAAGCTGCAACTTCCTGTTGTGTTTCTCTTTCATGGATCGGCATGAGCAAGTTGTCAGTCTTTAATTTCGATGTTCCCCGGTCCGTTTAGAGATAACCGAGGAACATCGACGTGGCAAGCGAGGATGCAGGTCGTTTAGGACCACTCCGCAGACTCCGCGTCTGCGCCATGAAAAAACAGCTGCAGGTCACCAGTAGGTGATGTCATTTTCCTCACTCACCTGCAGGTCACCGGTGTCTTCATTGCACTGGCTTTCTCCAGTTTTCGTTCCTTTCCACCTGAGTGAGTGATTGCCAACTCGGCCTCCTTCACGGGGCGATGTCCTGCCCTGCGAATTGGGACGGTCCGACAGCAGCATTTGCACCAGGACAAGTGGTGAAGGTCAAAGGAAAGGAGCATTTGCTTCTGGCATCCAGCAGCACAGCTGATTAGTAGCAGATCGAACAACTTCGAAGGCTGTGAGTGCTTGAGCACCTGGAGCCGGGCTGACCCTGGTAGGTTGACAGTTGGGGGCGTTTATTCCATACTTTTTTGGTGGGAAGAACCAGGGTCCCCGGGTTTTGATCAGCCATAAGGACTTTTTCACATGTGTGTCATGGTCGGAGCTGGACAAGAGCAATTGCATGGGATCCAAAGTCCGAACATTGCTGAGTCCAAAGTGCACTTGTGAAAGTCTTGGTTGCTGAGAACGATTTTGACACCAGCCAACCTTGGAATATAGTGTAGGAGAGCAGTTTGGGCATGGCAGAGCCCTAAGTTCTATATGGATTACTCTAACCCCAACTGAGAGCCTAATAGGCTATGTTTCAGAGTCGTTTTGGAAGGTAAGATCTGAAACATTCTACTGTTCCTTACCCGTAAACTGTAACCCCAAAAGCAAATCCCTCTTTTCAAGCAAGCGCTGTATCTGCCAAATCGTGCCATCTGCAGGTAGTGGCACTAGGACTTGGAGTTTCTCATGATGGCTACAAATAGTGATGTCCCCTCCCTGGGTGCTGGAGCCTTCGCAGCCAAGGTAAACACACCTTGGGTGCTGGAGCCTTTGCCGCTTGGGTCTCCACGTGGGACGACACGTGGGACGACACTCAGACACGTCTGGGGTGTGGGGTAAATGACGATGTTTGGGGGCACATTCAAGCAGAATTGTGCAATTTGGGGCATGTGCCATGTGTCATGTGTTTTTTTGAGTCTTGCAATTTTCTTATCAGGTGGTGCAAGTTGTTTCTACTGTAAGGGTTTCTAAGGGTTTCCAAGAAAAAAGGCCAAGTTCAAGGGAGTCAAGGCCTCCAGAATGCTTAAAACACTCATGCTCACCTCAAGCGCCCCAAACGCTCCAACTCAAACAATCCTACACCGCTCCCTTGCTGCGACCGAAAGCGGAGACCGCCCAGGTGGCCATCCGCGGCCTGCGGAACCACACGGAGCTCAACGGCTGCATCGCCAAGGTGGCCGAGTGTCACGAGGAGTCGCAGCGCTACGAGGCACTTGGGGAGCTCTGGCACCCACCAAACACCCAAGTTACGACTGGAGCCTGGCACCGGGGGACTGATGGTTAACTCACCATCGAATGGACCCGCGTTTCCACACCAGACCGCTAGCTGCCACAGGTCGACTCCGCGTGGACCTTCGGTTCTCCCGCGCGCGCCCGTCGACCGGACCCGCGTGGGAACCCGCGAGGTCCGCGCGCTGGACAGTGGCCAGCTCTTTCGTGTGAAGAAGGAGAGCGGGCGAAAGCGGTGACTCGCGGAAGAGAGAGAACCCAGAACATCGGTGAAACGGTGAAACTGTTGGTGCATGTTGGCGCCACTCACCTGGTCATTGGAAGACATTTAAACCTTTTTTAGTGGAGAAATTGGATGAATATGTGTTGTTTTCTTTGAGGAGGAAGGTTCAGAAAGTAAGCTCGAGTGTTGGGCGAATCAATCACCTAGACGACCGTTCTCCTTTGCACAGGAGGGTTCCATTTGAGGTCTATGTCAATGTCTCTTATTGTTTGATTTTTGTTCTTTGGTGTGTCAGTCAGTGTTTCATCAATCGTAACTTTCACTACAACAATGTGGAAGGCTTTTGGCCTCCGCTGCATGGGTTGTTCTTTGGTTGAAGAGTTGCGTTTTTTCGTGTGTCAAGGATGGCTCGAACAAAAACCGTCGAGATACAGGGTGGACATCTTGCAACCTCCCAAAATGTCCGCCAAGCTAGAGTCGCTACAGGGCAACTCAATGGTCGAGTCGCTCATCCTGTCGGAGTGTCCTGGCTGGACTACCCCATATACTACTCAGGGGTCTCCAGACAGGACACCCACTGGATGGTCCAGGCCCAGGTAGAGTCGCTCATTGTGGTTGCGAAAAGACTCCAGGACCCTTGCTCCACTCGGAATCACTTGTGATCAATCAGTTGGTCGGTGCTCTTCTCGTCGATCATTTCCACACATACCCAAACACTCCATGTATGAAATATATGAATGCCTACTCATTGAAACCCCAAACCACCCCAATGTAGGCAAATACGGTATATACATGGAGTGTTTGGGACATAGTATCACATCATATGAGATTCAGCAATGCAAGGTAGGACGCCTGCCATGCTCAACCACTCAGGACAAGGGGAGGAAACCCAAACCATACTCTTTAATGAGAACAAGTGCACTGGTCAGAGGGTGGTCAGTCACCAGGGCAACAAACTAAAACAAATCAAATCTGATTAATACTCATTAAATTTACTTTCTGGAATACTGATCTTTTCGGAGGAGATCACAGGTGTTGTGGTGTGAATTCCTGCCTGTATGATAATCATACTCTCCAAACTTATCCCTGTCAACACTCTTGCACACCAAAGCCATGTTTAACTTTTGAAGTGATGTTCATTCATGTTCTATCATATTTCTTGGTTCACTGCTCTAGAGGAGCACCCAGACAAGCCCTTCCATCCCTAACAACCCATGTATATCCATGTATAATATTTGCCCACATTGGGCTGATTTTAAGATGTTCTTCAGGATCAATGTGGGTCAATATTCCAGTCCCATGGATGGTTTGGGCATGCTCAAAGGCCATGTGGCTCGCTGTTTCGATGCTTTGCGCCGCGGAGAACGGGGTCTCTTCAGGAGAACGTGGTCTTGATCGAAGCGAGCCCCGGCGTGCAAGCGGCTGCGGCGGCACTGAAGGAGAGACCAACCGGTCGAGTCGCTGCTTGGAGAAGGTGAGTGTTTTTGTGCGCCAGCTGCCAGGTGAGGGTTTTCATATCGTGAAGTAAAGCAAGTTCGCTTGCCGGATGTTTCAGAATGGAATCCTGTACATGATTACATTCTTACACTGGTTGCACATGGAAATGGTTTGCTGAGGGGTAGAGTCTTGAGAGTTCAACTCAACAATGCCGGAGTTAGCTTTGATGTCCTCCAAACGATGCGTGTGCCGCACATTTGAACCCGAAATCACTTCACTCACCTTCGACCAGAGTGCATAGTCGGATCATTCCTCCGACCAGACGCTCCAATATTTCCTTCCCTAAGAATCCGGGCCCGAAGCAACACATAGAGTTTGGAGCGCCCGGACCCCTGCGTTTCGGTGTCGGGTCCGACCCCTGCCACCGAGAGCCCGTTTGGATTCTTAATCTTAGGGTTTGGTCAGTGTTAGTACCCTTCTCCGGATGAACATGGACCCTGACCGCTGGATTCAAGAGGAACATGTTCTTCCCTGCAGGAGACAGCCACTTCCTATGTGAAGGATCTCAATTGCCATTGTTGGAACAACATGGAACAACCATTCTGGTTGTTTGGGCTTTCAGGAATCTATGGGCGTGCATTAAAGGTTTTAAACTAGGGAGACCTCCCAGTTCCACCCCGTTTTCAGAAGACAAATTTATCCCAGTCAACACATTTGGGCCAGTTTGTCTCCCTAACATGTCCATTTCCCTTATAGTACGCTACATGATTTCCAAGACATGCTGGGCCAGTCGAGTGACTTTCAACCGAACGGGTTTGGGTTTCTGTTTTCCACCGCGGCAGGAGCACCGCGACGCGATGAAGGAGAACCGGGACCCCAACGAGACGCCCCGGAAGCGCGAGCGTTCCGACCGTGGCTCGGTCGCTGGGACGGGCGGCCGTGGCCGTTCGGAACCACACGACCTGGAAGACACGACCTGGAAGACACGACCTGGAAGATGCCTATCCCTAGCCTTCGGTTTGACCATTAAAAGAAGGGTTGACCTGGTTGTAGTATGAAATACAGTACTCAAAGAATTTGTTGTTGGGCAAAGACCATTGAAACCATGGTTGTTGGAATTCCAGGGTGTATATATATATATTGTTATATAAATATGCTTATGGCATACAGTACAGTACAGAGACCCACTTCAATTGTAACATATTGTAAGTGTAAGTCATATTTTTTATGTTATGTTAAGCATGGAGTGTTTGGGTAAGTATAGAGTTATTATGTGGGGAGCCCATTACATGGGTGACTGCACCCTACCCAGGAAAAGTGGATAAGCTTTTGTTTGTGATCGGGGACACCCCACTAAAGAAGAACAGGTAAAAACGCTTATTATGCCCTATGGATCCACAATGATCCACAGACCTTCTCAGAAGGTACGACTGGGCTCTCCTGGTGCCTACATAAATAGTCTCCAATCACCTTTCTCACCCTCGGTATGTGGATCCATAGGGATGTACAACCTTTATTTACCACGTGGAACTAAGGCCAACTGAGGGAGTCAGGACAGACAGTGCCCATTCGTCG